TCTCAGGGTTGTGTGTTCAAGCCCCACATTGGGCATGGAGCCTACTTAAATAAGAACTCGTCCGTCTAAGTAACAGTTACGTGTAATCAGAAGGTCTTGTGAAAGTTAGTTTTTCCCAGACAACTGCATTTGAGTGGTGAGCGTGTTCGGGTTCTGCTGGTTTCTAGCCTCCACCTTGTGGAGGGCAGACCTGGCTGATGTCAGTCTGTCGGGACGTCCCTTGTCACTCTGCTCTGATCTGAGGGCATAGCACATTCGGGAGAACGTGTGTTCTGAGCAAGAGTACGAAATTGCAGCTGCCCCGGAAGGGCCCCACACTCTCCCCTTGGTGTCGCTGTGGCTCAGTGCCCGGAAGAGGCTGCTGTCTGCAGCCCTCATCCGGCTCTGTTCGGTGGACAGAGGCGTGTGGCTTCTGCTATCACAACTCCGGGTTGCTGTGCCGGGCCGAACCTGGGCTCTGGGGGCGGTGGGGGGGGGCGGCATGGGAGGCTTTGGGAGGACCGAGGTTCTCGCGGCCCTCTCTGTGCCCACAGTTTGACGAAGGCCGGAACAACTTCGAGGGGGACATCACCAAAGACAAGCTGTTGGACTTCATCAAGCACAACCAGCTGCCGCTGGTCATCGAGTTCACTGAGCAGGTGCGACTCTCCTGTGGGTCCTGCGCCCTGAGGGCGGGGCGGTGTGGGAGGGTCGTGGGGTCCCGACCCCGGGAACCCCCACGTACAGATCGTTGCAGCGGTGGCATTGCAGCCGTTGAGAGAATGTTCTGTGTAAATGGCTTAGTTCGTGGCTCAGACCCAATAACCTCTGTTTACATCACAGACAGCCCCGAAGATTTTCGGAGGTGAAATCAAGACTCACATCCTGCTATTCCTGCCCAAGAGCGTGTCTGACTATGAGAGCAAACTGAGCAACTTCAAGAAGGCCGCCGAGCGCTTCAAGGGGAAGGTGAGCGGCTCAAGTGACTCAGGCTGCAGGGTGGCCCGGGGCTCTCTGCGGCTCCCGGGTCCCTCTGGGAGGGCCAGGCCGTGGCGGTGCGAGTCTGCACAGTGTGCGTGGCGGGAAGCGGCCAGGCAGGGGAGCGGAAGCTGCCTGTGGCCCCCCCCCGCCTCACCTGCCGCTTCTCCCCTAGATTCTGTTCATCTTCATCGACAGCGACCACACGGACAACCAGCGGATCCTGGAGTTCTTCGGCCTCAAGAAGGAGGAGTGCCCCGCCGTGCGCCTCATCACCCTGGAGGAGGAGATGACCAAGTACAAGCCGGAGTCGGACGAGCTGACGGCGGCGAAGATTGAAGAGTTCTGCCACCGCTTCCTGGAGGGCAAGATCAAGGTGGGGGAGCCACATCCCGAGGTGGAGCCGGCCCGCGCCGGCCTCTCGGCCTTTGGGGTCCCGGGCTCCCTGCGGCTGCATCTGGAAGGTGTCTGAGCTGAGCGTGGACTCCTGTGGACGGGGCCCCAGATGGTGTGAAGATGCTTGGGGAGAGACGCGGTGGTCCCACTGCTTGGGGAGCACAGAGCAGCCCCGACCCCGTGGGCTCGGCCCTCTCCCGAGGCTCCGTGAGCAGCTCTGGTCCCTGTGTGTCTCAGGCCGGGGTGGGGGTCCTGGGGGCCAGTGGGGTCTTGAGCCATCCCTGACCCTGCTCTGCCTGCCCTCCAGCCCCACCTGATGAGCCAGGAGCTGCCCGAAGACTGGGACAAGCAGCCCGTCAAAGTGCTGGTCGGGAAAAACTTCGAAGAAGTTGCTTTTGACGAGAAAAAGAACGTCTTTGTGGAATTCTGTAAGTGGAGCCTCTTCCGCTCGTGCGCGTGTCCCCCACGAGGGCCAGCGGGCCGGGGGTGGGCAGAAAGCGGCTCCTCGGCCCAAGGCGGGGACTCCGCTGCTCTCTTCCAGATGCCCCGTGGTGTGGGCACTGCAAACAGTTGGCCCCCATCTGGGACAAGCTGGGAGAGACGTACAAGGACCACGAAAACGTCGTCATCGCCAAGATGGATTCGACGGCTAACGAGGTGGAGGCCGTGAAAGTGCACAGCTTCCCCACACTGAAGTTCTTCCCAGCCGGCGCCGACAGAGCGGTGCGCCTCCGGCGGGGGGCTGGGGGAGGAGGGGGGCAGGGCCGGGGAGCGCGGGACCGGCTCCCTGATTCACATTCTCGCTCCCCCTCCCCCCCCCCCCCCAGGTCATTGATTACAACGGGGAGCGGACACTAGACGGTTTTAAGAAGTTCTTGGAGAGCGGTGGGCAGGACGGGGCCGGAGACGACGATGTAAGTGGCACGTTGGTTCCGCCCGGCCAGCCTCTGGGTCACACCCTGTAGTCCGTGGGACAGGCTTCCGTGGGCGCCACTTGAGGCAGGCACGGGGACCCGGGCTGGGGGGCTGCCGGGAAGCCCTCACCGTGCCCCGCAGAGCCGTCCTACCTGATGAACATGCTGTACAGATTGCCTGAGAGGGGCCTTTAAATGCTGATATTTGCTTAAGAGATTTACTCGTCCCGTGAGGCTCCCTACTGCGCTGGACCCGGACGCTCCTCCCCAGCCGCTGGCTGAGGCGTCCTGCCGGACACCAGCTTGGGCCTGTCCGTGCAGCCGTGGGCGGCTGGGGAGAGTGGAGGCTGGTCTGTGCCCAGGCCAGAGGGCAGGGCGGTGTGGGGGCGGGGGCCGGCAGAGTGTGTGAGACCGGGAGCCAGGGCAGTGGTCAGCTCAGTGGGGTATGGTCGGCGGGCTGTCGGCGGCCCCACAAACCCTGGAGGCTGGGGTCCCGGGCTCCCCTTGCACCGTCTTACGGGCAGAAGCTCTGAGAGCCGACAGTTGGCTGCTTCTGCCCAAAGGGCCAGCCAGTGTCTGGCTGACCGAGGCCCCGCCCCGTCCTTCCTGGTCCCTCCCATTCCCTCCCGGTCCCTCCCGGTCCCTCCTGACCCCTCCTGACCCATGTGCTTGCTTCCCTCCCTCTTCCTGCTGCGCCCCAGGACCTGGAAGATCTGGAAGAGGCGGAAGAGCCTGACCTGGAGGAAGATGACGATCAGAAAGCTGTGAAGGATGAACTGTGACACGGAGGCCAGACCCTGGCGCCCAGACACGGCACCTCATGGCCGCACACCCAGCGGCTCGGCCTCCGGAAGCTGGGGCCCCTCCCCGGAAGGAGGGAACGTCCATCGGAAATGCAGGGAACTTTCTGAAGCAACACTTCATTCTAACACACGTGTAAATCAAAACCCATCACCCTTTGCTTTTCAATCTTTGGAAAGGGATTTATCTCCAGGCCAGCCCATCTTCTGGGCCATTTTTTTTTAAATCGTGATGTACTTTTTCGTACATGGTTTTGTCCAAAGTGCTCGTTAAAATGTCTTGGAATCTCGGGCAGGTGAAGCCTCCTTCCTGTTAGGTTTATACTGTCACTTTTGAACATGCCATCGGTGGGATTTTTAGACATTTTTGGACGTCAGGGTGTCTGTTCCACTCTGGCCGTGGCTCCCCGGAGACTCCTGTCCCCTGCTCGGGGAGGGGCCCGGCCGGCCTGGACAGCCGCTCTCCACATGCCGGTGTTGCCATGGCTGAGCGTGGTTCTCCCGGTGTTTGGTTAAATGGACGCTTTGGCACGGTGGGGAAGGCGGGGGGCCTTCTGCGCCTGGAGGGGTGGTGGGTGCCGGTCGAGCCCCGGGCAGCCCCCCATCCTTCCCGAGCCAGGCCCCCCGTTCTGTGACTTCCAGGGTAACCTGAGGCCCGTGCCAGGCAGAACCTCCCATTTCCAGGCTGGGAAACGGTCAGGCGTGCTTGAGCCGAACCAAACGTTGACAGTTTTCAGGCATTTCTACCACAATATTGGAATTGAACACATTGGCCAAATAAAATTGAAATTTTACTACCTCTCGTTGTCTCTGCTCTACGGTCCCTCCTGGGCCTGGGCTCGGGTGGGGCCTCTCGCCAGGGCCTTTCTTGGCACGTGGCGCCAACACGGGAGCCACAGGAGTCTCTTGGGTCGTCAGCCCGAGGTGGTGACCGCCTGCAGGTCACCAGGTGGAGGCGCTGCTCCCGCGTGCCCCCCCCCCCCCCCCCCCCGCCGGGCGAACGGTCCACAGCCAGCCAGCGGGCAGGGAGTACCCGGTGTGAGCACTCTGGGCAGCGCCGACCAGACCCCTGTGCTGCCTCCCCAGCCCAGTGGGCCGCGCTGAGTGCTGCCCATAGCTGGGCTTCCTTCCCCCGTTCTCCAGTCTCGGCTGGCCTGTGCCAGCAGCTTTCCAGCTGGTCCGCTCCCGGGTTCAGGTGTGCGGTGCCTCTGTCCTGCTGGCACAACGAGACGCTTAGCCCTGGAAAGGTGAGCTGGCGCCGTTCAGCTTCAGTGGGAGGACGGCGGACCTGCCCTCCAAGATGGGAGCTGCTCCCCCAGGGGGCGCATGGCCTCCAGCCTCCAGAGGAGGAAACCCGGCACGGAGTGAGGCTGCCACGGGGGGAGGGGGAGGCGGGGTCCAATCCTGTGCTCCCTGCCCCAGCGACCGGTGTGGGTGACCCTGTGGACCCAACTGCGCCAGAGCCAGGCCCCTCCGCGTGGAGAGCTGGGACCGGGCGGGAGCACGGTGTCATGTGCTCCTGGGAGCGGCGGTGAATCACCCGTACCTTTCCCCTTTTGCAGAGGCAGCTGATTAGCACATTCCAGGGCCTGGATTTGCTGGGAGGCTGTGAGGGTGGAGTCCAAAACCTGGCCGGGCTGCTGGATTAGCAGGCAATTTTGCACACTCAGGGTGGTCAGTTAAGGCTTAGCAGCCCGGGCCTCCCAATCTCCCTCTCTTCCTCTCCCCTGCCCTCCTTCACTTCTCTCTCCAGGTGGCAGGAAGTTACTGCCCTGGTGCACCAGACACCCCTCCCCCGCCTGCCCCCCCAGGTCCTCAGGCCTCAGAGCCTGCCGGCAGGGACAGGCTGTACAGTGGGCCCTGCACCCAGTCTCCCAATGGGCTCTCTGGCTCCTGTTTTCTGCTGGATAAAAAGCACCACTAGTCGCACTCCTCGGACTTTTCAAAGTGGGCTTTTTGCATTAAATGTTTTGGTTTGCTTTATTCCTCTAGAAGGTAGAAACCTAACATCGTATAAGCCAGATCGCGGGTTCACACGGGCATCAGGAAGAAAGCCACATGAATACAGGTGTGGTTCTGATGTGGTTACAGGTAGTTAGGGTTTGCCAACCAACATTCTTAGGTGAGACGCTCACAGCCAGCTTCTGACAAAAGGTTCCAAAGTGAGACGCTTCAGGCCAGGCCCACGGTTCAGAGGACGGCTCCAGTGCCCACGTAAGAATTAAAAGCACATTAAATACCTTTCAGGGGAGTCTGTTGTGAATCGGGGGGGGGGGGGCGCTTGGGGCACCAGTCCCTTCTCTGGCCCAAGCTGAAACCCAAAAGCCAAAACCCCCAAGCTCTCAGCTCACCTCGGTAGGACGGGGCCTGCCTCCAGCCCGAGGCCTGGCCACTCTCGGGAAGGCCTGGGTGGCAGCTTCATAAAGCCTTCTTTCATTTGATCCCCTGAGCAGGGAGGGCAGACAGAACTTTCCACGACACCAGAACAGGCCATCTTCACATCAAAGGAAAGTTTTCTCCTGTAAACACGCCAGAAGGAAGTATACTGACTCCTCCCAGGTGACTAGGAGTTAAGATCACCCAGCACCGTCCTCGGAGCCCTGGAGCTCAGGAACCCCAGGCACCACCCCTGGATTGGGGGCCCTGCAGGGCCTGGCCGGGGAGGAGGGTTCCATGGTGGCCAGGCCCGGCCAGCAGGTAGGGGCTCTGAGACCAGCCGAGAAAAACCTTGTCAGGGCCGGGAGTCCGTCTTAGGCGGTGCCCCATTTCTCCACAGCATTTGGCCCTGAGGCTTTGCACCTAGAGGGTGTTAAATGCATTTGTTGATTTGGTTCTGTTGGATGGAGACCAGCCCAGTGATGCAAGGCTGCTGGTGACCAGGTGGCCGGCCCCACCCCCAAGAAGAGTGCCAGTCAGCCTTGGTTCTGTCCTTACTCAGGACTCCAGAGACTCCCCGGGGACTTCTCGCCAATGTCACGGCTTGAACTGCATCCTCCAATATTCCTAAGTTGAAGTGCCAACCCCCGGGACCTCAGAATGTGATCTAATTTGGAAATACAGTTGTCATAGATGTGGTCGCACAAGACGAGGTCATTCCGGAGTAGGGCGGCGGCCCCTAATCCAATGACTGGTGACCTTATAAATTTGGACACAGGCACACACAGGGGCAAGGCCGTGTGAACATGAAGGCAGAGATGGGGTGATGTCTCTACAAGCCAGGGAACAAAGACAGACACCAGCAGCCAGGAGGGGGCCTGGATTCTCCCTCAGAAGGAACCAGTCCTGCTGACACCTTCATCTTGGACTTCCCGTCTCTAAAACCATGAGGAAATAAAGTTTTGTTTTGTTTTTCAATGTTTGTTTATTTTTGAGAGACCGAGTGACACAGAGCAGAGCAACAGAGGGAGACACAGAATCCGAAGCAGGCTCCAGACTCTGAGCTGTCAGCACAGAGCCAGATGTGGGGGCTCGAACTCAGGTGTCCATGAGATCGTGACCTGAGCCGAAGTCGGCCGCTTAACTGACCGAGCCACACGGGTGCCCCGGAAATAAAGTTTGTTTCAGCCCCCAGTCTGGCACTTTGTCACGGCAGCCCAAACACACCCAGCTAGCCAACAGCACGTGCTGTGGGCGCTGCCCCCCCGCCCCCGCCCCCGTGAGCTCCTGGCCCAGCTCTGCTCCTGTGTGCAAGGCTCATTTCCACTGGCTCTTCTCCCCACCAAAGTCTCGGCCACCCCTGGAAACAGGCTGCTGCGGTGGACTGCTAGCGCCGGCCCAGCCTGCCGGGCATCTTCGATGCATTGCACTGGTTACGTTCTTACAGGGAAGCCCCGACCAGGCAGAGTGCGTATGCCACCCGGGCCGTGACGGCCCTTCCGAGGGGAGCAGACTGAATGCTCCCTCAGGCGTGAGCATGTGTGTCCTTGGCAGTTAGAGGCAGGAGTCTGGAGCCAGAGGAAATGGGGGTGGAGGGCACGGGGCTGGAAGGAAAGGAGGGCGGTGTGGGGAGGGCTACCTGGTGGGCAGGGTGGGATGGGCTAGTGGGAGCAGAGGCATTTATTTACATTCTAACCTGGGAAGGTTCCCAGCGGGAGGGCAAGGTGGTGCAGGCCCAGCTGGAAGGTGACAGGTGGCAGGGGGGCACATGGGTGGGGCTGGACCTGTGCTGGCATGGTCAGGACCCTGTGCTTCCTCAGATGTGGGCAGCCCCTTGCTTCTCAGGAGGTGGGAGCAGCCACCTCCACCAGACCTCGGGCCTTTTCCCTGAGTTCCCAGGACTGTGGGAGATGCCCGGGCCCTCTCCATGACCTTGGTACCCGCTTGCCGTCCTTATGGGTCCTGTCCTTCTAGTGCCTTCTCCTGCCCTCTGTAAGGCACCTTCTAGGCCCAGCTGTGGGGCAGACAGCAGTGGCCAGGGAGGATCTGACCCCTTTGGCCGGGGCAGAGCGACAGGTGGGCTGAAAGACGAGCCACTAAACATGATCCTGTGTGCAGGGCAGAGCTGCTCTGTTTCAGCCCCTCCCGGTGTGAGCATGACTGCGCAGCTTTATATAGCACTGCGGGCCCTATATAAGAGGGAGGTGGCCTCATCACAGGAGAGCACGGGGCGGCGGTGGCGCAGGAAGAGCCTGTATGCGTTGTCTGATCCGGGCCGGACACGTCCCTCCCCCGAGCAGTAGGGTCCCCGCAAGGTGGACCCACCACAGCCCCCAGGATGCCCAGCAGGACCAGCCGCTACGCCCGATACAGCCCACGACATCGGCGCCGGCGGATGCTGGCCGATCGCAGCGTGCGTTTCCCTAACGACGTCCTGTTCTTAGACCACATCCGCCAGGGTGACCTGGAGCAGGTAGGGCGCTTTATCCGGGCTCGGAAAGTCACCCTGGACACCATCCACCCCTCAGGTGAGCGCCTGTGGGGCCAGCCGAGGGTCTGTGGGGTGTTGGGGGAAGACCTCAGCCTTGACCCCTCCCGCCCTGCCCTGCCCAGGCCTGGCCGCCCTGCACGAAGCCGTGCTCTCTGGAAACCTGGAGTGCGTGAAGCTGCTGGTCAAGTACGGAGCTGACATTCACCAGCGAGACGAGACTGGGTGGACGCCCCTGCACATCGCCTGCAGCGACGGGTACCCTGACATAGCCAGGTGAGAGGGCCAGGCCCGGGGCTTCATCCCAAATGCCCTGACCTCAGGTGGCCTCCAGGATGTGGTCTCCTGAAAGGCGGCCCTGGCAGTAGAGCTAAGAGCCCTAAGAGCTTCTAGGATCTCCTTTCTACCCTGTTGCCTTCCCTAGAGCAAACCAGAAAAGTCAGCCACTGTTTCTGGAGGATAAAGTTTCTTCCTCTTCACCCTTCCTGGAAACATTTTTTTAAAAAGGCGCACGCCAGGACTCCAGCCTGCTACCCCGGGGTTGGGGTGAACATCCTGCAGGCCGCCTTCCCCCCACCACAACCTTTGCACCCCAGGTACCTCATCTCCCTGGGGGCAGACAGAGACGCAGCCAACGACGATGGAGACCTGCCTTCAGACCTCATCGACCCAGACTTCAAGGACCTGGTGGAGCTCTTCCAAGGGACTCGGATGGACTGAGCCCAGCCCTGACCTCCCAGGGCTCTGGCCCTCCAGAGAGAAGTTGGGTGCCCACCTCCCCCACGTACGAGGACTTGCCCCACCGGTAGGGGCGGCAGCTGGCCAGGAGCCCGTACCTGGGCACAACCCCCACCCCCCACGCTTCTGGCCTGGCTTTTTCTCCAGGTGAATTTTTTTTTTATCGTGACACTTTTTACTTTTTCAATAAACGTCATTCCCCAGCCCCTGGTGGTAGCCTGATTACTGGGCACGGGGCCGTCCCGGCTCTCCCGCTTCCGGTGGTCAGTGGGCCCTGCCATCCCAGCGCCAGGCTTGGGGGTGCAGGAGGCAGCGCCAGGGAAGGGAGCCAGCGTCTCGGGGCTCCGGGGTCTGAGGTCTCTGACCCCGCCGACCCCCGACTCCCAGAACCCCAGCGTCCCCAGCTCTCAGCTCCGCTCCCCTCGGCTCTGCAGCCCCCGCTCCCGCCGGTCCCCCCCCCCCCCCCGGTACCCCGCCGACCCCGGACCTAACGAAACCGGAGGCGCCCGTACCGCCGTCCCCCGGTCTCTGGCCCCGCCCCCAGCGGCCCCGCCCCCGCCCCCAGGCGCGCGCGCCGGTCACGTGCCCCCCGCGCCTGCGCCTGCGCGCGCGGTGGTGGCGTCACTTCCGGCCGGGCCCC